TGGCAAAGAATACAAGATAAGGCGCTCTCTACCAAAGTTTGAGCATCCCTCTATCCATATATTTCTTTCTGACAGGCAACATATCATGATCTCTGGATGTTTGCTATCACCTTCCATATGCTTTGAATTACAAGTTGTCTAAATAATTTGCTTAATCTAAATTATTATCAACAAGAGTAATTTTTTGCTCTAAATAGCAACACTGCATGAAGGCACGGGGTCTTATAAAAAATAATAGGGTCAGCACCCCACATCCACCAGTAGAAGTGGAATAACTGCATCTATTTTGCCTCTCTGCAGTTCTCCCTGTAACACATGCCTCCCGCATGTCCCCAGGTGGCAGCAGGCTGTGGGAGAGGAGCAGTGCAGGACAGTCCCGTGGGGAGCTGCTGGGGCTCTGCTCTCCACAACCATAGCGGAGGACGCCCACGTGGGCAAGCTCTGTTTTTCAGGATGCGTGTCTGCGACTGACTGATCCGTCACTAAGGCTACTCCTTTTCTCAACCCGGTATGAACACATGGCTGCATTGACTTCCCATGAGCTGTGGTACAAGTTGGTAAGGCGAATTTCAGAGGCAGGGACAAGGTCTTCACTGTGCACCTACCATGGTCAGGTCCTGCTCCAGGACAATGGTCCCCACACCACGTACAGTAACTGGCAATAGCAAGACCTGCCTTCACTCCAAGCTGCTGTCCTCTCTGCAGCCACCTCTGCCATCTTTCTCACAAATCTTATGGGAAACTTGGTGGTCATGGCTGACAGAAGGACTAAGCAAAATGCCTCAGTGAAGCAGGGAGAGACAGGACAAAGCATGTTAGGAGCAGTCATACTTACACTAAACTCCCGTATCTCATGTTGGAAGAACATCTCTCTGAGATTCTTCACCAGTATCTCACTGCCCATCTAACCCCCTTCACTCTCAATACAAACTTACGCAAGCTCCTCAGCTGGCAACAGGGCCCACTTGTTTTCAGGCCTTCTCTCAGGGTGATGAATGCTCCTGGTGGTATCACTAATTTCACTACAGATTTCTCTTTGATGTGACGCAAGTTGTAACAACCTTTTTTCTGGAGCTGAATACATGAGACCTCAGCTTTCCACTTAAAAAGACATATTGAAGTTGGGGAGAAAGCTTTGAAAAATGACCAGAGAGAAAACAGTAGGCTCAGACAAGATACAGAAATATAGAAGAACACATTTTTATTTTGGTCTAAGCAAAGACCAAAGCCCTCAGCATGTCTCCACTACATCCCATGGAATGTGATGCCAAGCAGGGCCTGCTTCATTGCATGGAGTCTGTTCCCAGTGGTGGGGCTAATGTCCCCCCTTCACCAAACCATCATGGAGACAGAGGGCAGCTCTTGGACACAGAATCACAGAATGGCAGGGGTTGGAATGGACCTCGGGAGATCATCTAGTCCAACCCCCCTGCTAAAGCAGGTTCGCCCAGAGCAGGTTGCACAGGACATCATCCAGGCGGGCTTTGAATATCTCCAGAGAAGGAGACTCCACAACCCCCCGGGGCAGCCTCTTCCAGTGCTCTGTCACCCTCAAAGTAAAGAAGTTCTTCCTCATATTCAACTGAAACCTCTTATGCTTCAGTTTGTGCCTATTGCCCCTTGTCCTGTCGCTGGGCACCACTGAGAAGAGTCTGGCTCTGTCCTCATGACATCGGCCCTTGAGCTATTTCTATGTGTTGATGAGATCCCCTCTCAGTCTTCTCTTTTTCAGGCTGAACAAGCCCAGCTCTCTCAGCCTTTCCTCACAGGGGAGATGCTCCAGTCCCCTCATCATCCTTGTTGCTCTCCTCTGGACTCTTTCTAGGAGTTCCTCACCTTTCTTGAGCTGGGGAGCCCAGAACTGGACACAGTGCTCCAGGTGGGGTCTCACCAGGGCAGAGTAGAGGGGGAGGATAACCTCCCTCGACTTGCTGACCACACTCCTCTTAATGTACCCCAGGATACCATTGGCCTTCTTGGCGGCAAGGACGTGCTCTGAGCCACAGCCTGGCTGGGGCATCATGGCGCTGGACGGGACTGAACGCTCAGCACAGCCCCTCGCGGAGCTGCAGCACCCACTGCTTCACACAGCTCTCACTTCTCCAGATGAACTCAGCATCCTGTTTAGCACTTCATTTTGTGCACAGCCAATGGGTTTTTCACTGAGGAAATAAGCTCTCCCTGTTCAGCGTGACACATACATAAATATGTATACACATACACACACGTGCACACACACACACAGACGTCAGTCGCTTAAAGCCCTGTGGGTGTCTTCTTTCACATTTCTACCTTGTGGCTTGAGGAAGCCAGGAAATGTAAAAAGCAGTCAAAATGTCAGAGAGGAAAAAAAAACAGATAGAAACACCTTTTCCACAGAAAATGTGGAGCAGCTCCCAGGCTGACTGTCCCAGACCTACCAGCTCACTTTGTGCCTTGCTTCCTCCTCTTCCTCCTCCTCCTTCTCGTCTGTGGCTTCTCACGGGTTTCCATGCCACAAGCACCAGGCAGGCACTTTGCTGAATCAGACCCACTGCTGCCAAAGACACTTTCTACCCATAAATTCAGACTCTTGCCAGGGCTTATTACAGCTATTAAATTCACTTATTGTAGTATCACGCCTCTCTTATTAAGATTTTAATCAGCATTTCCATCGGAAAGCCTTACTCTCAAGGAGTTATAAAACTGCCTGTATAAAGTTGATTACTGCTGAAATTTAGAATCCAGCTTCTTGGCTCATGGCTATGTTTCTTTCTTGCTTACTTGATCTCTGTTTGCAAAAGCTGATGTAAATTGGTTTGGCAAGTTTGTTTAATTCCAGGGATAAATAATTCCTGACTTAAGAGGCATTTTTTTCCGGGGCATGGAAAGCGATGGAATGAAATTAACCTAAGTTACCTGCCTACATTAAAGAATTACCCCAGATATATATATATATATATATATATTTTTTTTTTTTATATGTTGGTATTTTTTACCTAGGAATGCAACTAAAGAATTTAACCATTCACATTGTTTTTAAATGCTGAGTATTTTCGGAGCAGTGTACAGTGCTTAATGGTAAGGCAATCACGGGAGGTTAGAGACTTTCCAAATACATACCAGCACCTCAGTGCCAACAACCCATATCACTTCAATGAACTGTGCAGTATGTGTTGGCATGATTTATGTAGCGATTTTAAAAGAATCTGTAGTGTTTGTTTATTACCACACCATGATTGATGGGTTCCTAAGTGCACGGCGACACAATCAGCTGAGCTATTATGGCTGGGAGTTTGATAATTTGTGAGTTACAGCCCTTACAGCATGTCATTTCAGTCAATTGCCAGAAGTCGTTAGGGTTTCAGTGACCTCAGACAAACTGTGGTGAGATGAGACCCGCTGCCGATGGTGTCACCATCTCCCTTGCATAGTCACACAGGCTACGAGCACTCCTGCCCAGCTCCCCTGGCTCTCCTGCTCTACTTCTCGGCCCCTCCTTGGTGAAGCCTGGTAAGAAAAACCACCGTTTAGCCCAATGAGTAATTCCTTCAGGTTCTGCTTTCACCCTCACTCCTTCCAAATGTTAAGACTGGTACCAATGTGATTCAAACTATAGAGAAAGAAAGGCTGCTCAAGCCTTGTCTTGGTCACTTGCTTTGTGACAGGCAATGATGTAGACAAAGCCACCATGTACCCCCAGAAACACACCCCTTACTGGCAGCCACTGGAACACCCTCAGTTCCTTCCTGGAAAAAATATCCCAGGCTTAAGTTTACATACAATACGTTATGTCTAAGTCTTCACTGGATGTAGGCATTTATTTGCAATAAAAAAAAAAAATCGAGTATGAAAGAAACCGTATTTATCTTTTATTTTTTTTTTTTTACAAAAATAAACAATTTGAGAAACAAAGCACATTTTTTTTCCTGACTGTACAAACTACAAAACAGTATGACATTGGTCACTTTAGCACTTACTTTATTGCTTTCACTGAAAGCAAATTCTCTAGACACACCATGCCTGTAAAACGCGTTTTATATAGAATTAAGGCTAGCATTCATTTGCCATTATTAAGGTCATTTACTTCATTCACTCTAAGAATTAGCAAGCGGTGCCTTAGAAAACCAAGGATTTGATGATAAAAAATACAAATAACTGCAAGATAGTCATTAAACTAGCACTGCTCCACCAGCTGGATTGCTTTGCCAGTCTGTCAAAGATGTGGCTTCCTGAACAACTCAAACTCGATTCAACAAAAGTCTTAAGCACAGGCTTAATTGTAAGCATATGCTTAGGCCTATCCCATTCAGCAAAGCATTCGGCACTTGGGTAAGTCCCTACCCTTTCAGTGGGACTATTCATATGCTTATGTGATTTGCTAGACCTACAAAATGGCTCTTTTAAATTAAAAATGAAACTTTATGATAACATTGGAAGCAAAAAATGAAAATTAGCTACAGTCTTGCCATTCTAAACATACCCAGTTCCTTCCTTTTGACAAATACGCCGGCATTACATATTTGATGGCTTTAACACAAATGCTGATTGTCTTCAGAAATGTTTGCTATTCAGCTTACAAACTGATATGCTTCAGTTACTCTGTTGTGATTGTACGTGCCCAAATAAATATCAGCGCGGAGGATACAGACTTCTCGTAGCAATGATCGGCTTTCATCCCTGTGCACACAAGCACAGGTCAGAAACGTTATGCTAACCTTGGTTAGAAAAGCCAGAGCTGCCAGCTGATTTATAACCAGAATTATACCCTAACAGTGTATCATATCTTGTATTTTGCCTTGTTTTAAAAAAAATATCACATTTTCAAAATGCTGTTTTATTGCACATTCATCCTGGTCATGCAGGTTATTTCTTTAAAGTTTTGTTTAGCACTCTATAGATTAGAATGAGTAATAGTGCAATTATCTCTCCAGCCACAGCCACCTTATACCTAACAGCTGCCTATATTTATACACAAACAGCTCTTGTCACTCACGCGTCAGACTGAGTCACTTTAGGTGTCAGTCTGTCACCTTCACATATGTTATCTTGTCGGGATCAGGCATGATATGATTTGAGGCCATCTTGAAGAAGACAAGCTGCCGACCTGCACCAGATAGGAAAAGGAGGGGCAGGGGGGAAAGGGGAAGAAAAAAAATTATCTAGAAGTGATGCACAGAAGGTTGCAGACTTTAAAATATTGACATTTCATATTCCTCTTCAACCTATGCATTCTTTGGGCAACCCAAGAGTGAACTCATAACTTTACCTGGCATAAAACTGAAATGCTTTTCTCTAAAATGACACTGAATCTCCCCTGCCTTCAAGCAGGTTTACTCTTATCTAATTATGGGCAAGACAACGGCTGTGCACAGCTAACACAGCAAATGAGGAAGAGGTCTGAAGAGTTTAGTACAAATTTCACATCACCTTTAAAAGAAAAACATTTAAAGACTCTCCCACTGATAAAAGCAGGTTTGGTTCAGGGCATTCATTTGATTGTACAGGAGCAGAATCATCTTTGCGTGCTTGAATCTTTGCAAAGCTCCTCAGGCAATGTATGTTAAACATGACTTGCACCGAAATAGCTCTTGCTGATCACTTCATAGCTCTGGGTTTTAAACAAGCTGGAAGAAGGTTTCTACCCCTCACACAAAAAGCACCAGCAAGTGCTAACGGCCTGGGCAGTGTAAGGCACCCGCCACAGACACGTCCCAGCCCAGCGGGGGCTGAATTTGGTGAGGTTGCACTCGGTGGTATCTGTGGGAGCCACAGCACAGTTCTTGTATCTCCCCATGCTTACTGACCCCACATCTTATTCACATCCCTGCATCTTGATGACGAGTACCCGCCATCCCACCGACCCACACTGCCTTTCCTTGGAGCAGAGGCCACAGAGAGGTTTTTCCACAGCTATCCAACCCCTGCCTTCCCTCTCTCTAAACCTCAGAAGACCAAATGCTATTTACTCCCAGCCTGCCTCTCTAGGGGGCTCTCATAACACTATTTTCCTAAAAAGTATCACACGGCAAGCGGGATGCCTCAGCTACTGAGCAAATTTCTGTGCTGCAGATTTCAGGGATTTGAGCACTCAAGCATCAGGAACGGCATGGCAAAGGGAATGTTAATAAGACTAGAAATACCGCTCCTATGTCTCATTTGCTTTTCTTACTATAATCTTATAATCTGAGACAGAAGCTGCTCTAAAATTCCTATGAATTTCCCTGTGCCATGACAATTACTTTTTCAGTATATTAATTAACTTCAATAGTCTGACTACAAACAGTCTGCCAGGATGACCTAGTAGTCACTGGTTAGCCACAGGCAAGGTTAATACAGTTTTTTTCTAGGTTCCGTGGAAGTCTCCATTCAAACCTCAAAAACCCGCACAAGAAATGCAGAAAACCACCTCAGTACATTGCCTAAACTACTCTGAAACATATGAACTGTCTAAAGTTGCTACTCATTTGTGAGGCTTTCAGAGCTGGGGACCTGCTAGGCATGTGCATAAGCCTGGCTTTGCCGTGTTGCTCAACCAAGCACAACTAAAGCATCCAACTGCGCACAGAGTAAATTTTGACTTTAAGGTTAAGAGATGTTGTGATCGCAGATGTAGACAGAAAGTTGAGTCTCAGAGCCTGAACAACTTGCCATGCTAAAGTCTGTGGCAGAGCAAGGACTTCAGCCAGCTTTCCCTAGGTTTGGCTAGCATCAGCCACCCTTCCTCTCAAAGACAGGAGCCGGGGAGCCGACCTGGCCCTAGCAGAACATGGCAATCGCAGGCAGGGAAACAGCCCTGTAAGCGTGGAGGTAAGACACAGAAGAAAACTCACCCTGACTTCAGTGGGGGCTTTATCTCAGGGAAGATTACAAAGGAATGTGGATTTGGTCCACTGCACCTTATAGGCACAAACATGTCTTTTTTTCTTTACCCTTCGAGGGACACAGTGTGCTCAGGGGAACACTGCAAGCGGAGCTGGCTGGGCCAGCCATGGGGGCACGCAGCTCCCCTGGGCACACAGGGAGGGGGTGCGGGGTTGGGAGGCGGCTGCGGCATTCAGCTCTTTGAACCCCTCAGCCACCCCGGAGCTGCAGCTACCGGAGATTTTTAGCAGAGACCTGTAACATTTTTGTTTCTCAGATTGCTCTGGAGTCGCCTGAAATAGGCACAAGCAGTGAGCCAGGGCCAATTCTCCGCTTGATGGCAATGGGCACCGACTGCCTGCCTTCAGGGGAACCACCGGGGGACTGCCAGGCCCACAGACCTTTTGGAAAAGTTATTTCTCTTTTTCAACAAGTGTATTCTGTTAGACAAGAAAAGGAGTTGTATAGCAAATGGGATTTTCCCCTGGAAGTCCTACCTCTACCTCTGCCTGGTTTTAAGCCCTCTCTCCTCGCTGTCCTTTAGCCAAAGCCCTACTGCTAGAAGCACAGTGTTCCCACCAGCAGCAGGGCATCTCTGACACCAGCCGGGAAGTCCCAGCTAGATGCACGGGAGAACCTGTTTGGTTTTGTGTCAAACTGCAACAACCATATGGATTGGAAAGATTTGTTTAAATCCAGATGTTGGACCATGTCCTGCACATTTAACTGCGGAAACAGGTCACAGGCTTTTGTTGTTTCTGCTGCTGCGTTTTAAAATAAAATTTCGGACCCTGCGTTTTGGAGACTTATGGTCCACGTGCTGCAGCTCTCTGGTGCCAGTTCCTTCGAGCCCACCTGCAGGTTCCTGCTCCCCTAACAGCAGGCAAAGAGAAGCCCCACCAGAAATCAAACCACTTCAGCTGGAGCTTCAGAAACTTCTAGCTGCTGCTGCTGGCTCCTGCAGCCCAGCGCAGCACACTCTCTAAACTGTATCACAACACTTGAAGCAGCCAGAATATGTGACCCGGATGCTGTTTCTGCTCAGCAGCATCTACGACCTACCTGTCCAAGTCGTCTGGTTAGTTAAGACAAAAGCTTTGCACTGGGAGTAGCTGTCACAGATCTCGATGGCTTCGCTGACGTCAAACACGGAGAGGAGGCAGCCTTTGTGATGGTAAGATGGCCAGCATCTGTAGTTCTCATCAGGAATAAAAGCTTCAGGCACCCGTCTGTATTCTGCAAATAACCACAGCAAAGCAATCTTTTTGAAAGCTCTAGCAAACTGCTTGTTTTTAACAGGCAAGGTTTATTATAACAGCTTAGGAGTGAGATATATGATGGAAAAGGTGACGGGCTAGACTGTACCAGCCCCGGTTTACTCCCAAACGTGTTTATAGCTCTGCACCTTACTTTCCTTTTCCTTTCCTCCTTTCTTCTTCTCACCTTTTTTTCCGAAAAGCGACTGTAAATAAACAGTCTGTGCACAAAACCCTTTCCCCTTCCCCACTGCGTAGGCGAGGCTTTGGTTTTATTAGGAGTTTTACAGGAAGAATGTCCCATTGAATAAACAGCATCCACTTGAATGAACTGACTCACTGTCCTACTTCTTAACAGTGAGCGGGATTGTCGGGGTGAGACCCGACCAGGCGTTCCCAGCCCTCCCTCTCCCTCAGAAGAGCACGATATTTTCCTCTGGCCCCTTTAGAGAAGGAAGAAAAGACAGGCTTTTAATTAAGCAAACTTTTTTTGCTGGCTCAGATTAGCACAAAAGGGGAGTCGCTTGACGGGCCTCTGAAGAGAAGAAGACCCCCCCCCGCCCCGCCCCCCCCCCCCCCTGCCGCTCCCTCCTCTCCCTTGGCTGCCGTTCAGTCTCACTTGCCTTTATGAGCTGCCTCTTGTTCTCTGTTCACAGCTCCTCTCGCTTTCCCAGCCGCTGGCGGGGATTTCTCTAATGAATGCATCAGCAAATTCAACTAATCATTTATAAACATTTCTATTTAGCGTCCCGACACACAAATTGATGGTTCCCTCCTGTCTCTCCCCCCTCCACACACGTCCTATTCAAAAAAATAAATAACATTCTATATTTCTTCTAATTGTATCTATTATGGAAACCAGAGCTGCCGGCCCTGACTCACAGCCTATTCTTAAGTCACTTTGGTTCAGGCATTTTCTGCCTGACACTGCAGATTCAGCCTGCTAATATTTCAGGCAGCACATTGTACGAACCCCGCCGAGGCAGAGTTGAGTGCGTCTGCTACTCTGAGCTGCCCGTATTTCAACTGGGAAAAGAAGTACACAACCAGAAGTACTCGTTCACACCACACAGTCTGAAATAGTGGGAAACGAATGCGGTAAATACATTCTTTTTTTTTAAGCCTGGCTCATTAAAAGTATCTTAAGAAACATTCACAAGCAAGAAGCAAAATCGGAGCTGATCACGTCCCATTTAAATCAAAGGCAAAAAAGTTTTCATCAGTTCAGAAAATGCAGACTCACACAGACAAAAAAAAAGTGCAGTTTTACATCACAAATGGTCATGCCTCCGTCAAAAACACATATATATTTAAAGAATCATAGAATCATAGAATTGTCTAGGTTGGAAAAGACCTTTAAGATCATCAAGTCCAACCGTTAAACTGTTTCTTCTGAAGAAAAGTCACAGCTTAAATCAAACCACTACTGGCTGGATAGGTAAAGTCCCCTTTTCTCAAATTTCTGTATCAGCAGTACCATGTAACAATAACTGACTGTAACTGAATAATACTCTCTTATCTCTGCATGGTAACTGCTGAGGATTGATTTGTACCTCACAGCCAAGGTGAGTAAAATGGTATGTGCAAATGAAATGCAAAAAAATCAATCCACCGTTGTCGGCACCACACACAGCTGCCTGTATCAGCCTGCGTGCCGTGTTGACTGGATACGAGACGTGACTAACCGCAACTTTTCTCTGCACGGCTACAGAAGTGCCACCCAACACCGCACTGCGCCAAACCCCACGCCACTGAGGACTTTCACAGAATGATGGCACTTGCTGCAGCAGCAGAAGATGAAGCATCTGCCTGGTTCTCCGCAGCAGCCGGGAGCGTGCCCTGGCCATTCCCACGGGTGCTCTCGGAGTCTGCCGAGCTCCGCACCGGGGCTGGGAGGGAGCCACAGCATCCCTTGGCAGGCCGTCAGGGCACTAAGCAGAGCAGCCCCGTGCCACATCAGGTATTTTTCCCCATGCAAGGCAAGAGTCTGCCTGGAAGACCCTTATTTTGAATTATCATTCAATTTTTAAACTCTTCTGCACACAGATATGCCTCTTAATATTCCTGTAGCGCTTTCTTTCTTCCCAACATTGTTGCCGGTACAGCTGTCAGGGGTTAGGCTCTCCGCTGATGTAAACAGATTTCAAAAGAGCAGCAGTGATTTACGTGACCTGAGGCTCCATCAGAGGTAGGAGATAAAGTTCTCCCTTTCCATTGACTTTTTCAAGGTGACCGAGCCTAGTAAATCATTTGGGCAGCTTAGACACATTAATCAACAGAGTTGGGCCAGTGATAACTGCAATGGTGAGGGCAAGGTCCTGGCTTGCGGGTGCACGAGAGCATGGAAAGCTCCATGCCAGTACCTAGGGTGGTCTCACCAGGCAGCAGAGCCCTATGGCTGTCCCGACTCTCCTTGCTGCTCCTCGCCAGTTCCTACACGAGGGAAGCCACTGCCATTTGCAACAACTCATGGCAACAGGGTAGCGGAATAGGTACACAGCAGCACGACCCACATGCAAAGAGCATTTTCCTTGGCTGGGAGATCATCAAGCACCAGACAGGTGAAAATACAGCCACTAGAGTCTAAGCGAAAGGGGAGAGTCACACGGGCTCCACAAAGGCAGCTTCTGGCAGCTCCCCCAAACTGGCACAGACCGCCTGCAGTTTGGGGATCTGAGCCCCCCGCCTACGCTGCCTGTGGGGAGGGGAGTGGGATGAAGAGAAGGGGAAAGGCAGGAGGCAGCCCCTCTCCCTGCTTGCGTGGCAGGCAGCCAGGGGTGGTTGCCCAGGAGCGCCTTCCACCGGCAGCATCCCAATGGGAAGGCTCACGAGGAGCAGAGAGCAGGACACACGATGGCCCCACGCCCTGGCCCACGCTCCCAAACCAGCCAGGTGTTCCCACTGCCCCGGGAAGCCAGCACGGGATCTCCTCTTAAGCTATTACTGTCAGAACTGATCAGAAACTCATTGCAACACCAATGAAGCGCTGGCCTGAGGAAACCACGTTTCTCTCCAAAACTCACTTTATCTCAAGCAGAGCAAAGTAGCTGCCTTTCCCATTTGCATGGCGAAGGCAAATATCCCTGGAATCCCTTGTTTACATAGCAACAAATTAGGGAGCTGACCCCTTAGCCCTTATTTGTACAAATTGTGAAGAAATACACTCCTCTTACGTGAACTAGAAGGATGCCCCCTCTATTGAGATGTGCCCCAGCAATGACATTAGCCCCAGCCCGCAGGAGAGCTGGGCTTCCCCTACACCTTCAAATGATCATCTTGGTCACTACAATGCAGTTACTTGCCCAATTAAGCAATACTCCACTGGTTTAAAGACAGCTCCAGCTCAGTTTTTTTTGTCCTGCCAAGACCTGAAACTTGCTTAAATGGAGTCCGTGGAATTTGAAGGCTCACGGCAGTAAATCACATCATAAAAAGGTCAAAGTTCTGGTCGATTTCCAGACTAATGGTGTTTAAAACCAATAAATACTTGCCTAATACTATAAATGCAGCCATAAATTTACACTTTTGCATACACGCACGTAGCTCGACACCGAGTACATAAAGCCTGTCGAGGTAATGGCAAGGACTAGATCAGAGAACTGCAAGATGCTCCTGCCGGTATCACAACAGAAAAAGAAACCTTTTCTCCGTCTACTGATTTTCTGAGGACTGAAGCAAATAAATGCAATGCAGTAAGCCTGATCTTAATGTCACTTACGACAGATTTACTCCAGTTTAACATATAGGAGCTGATTGCTGCTCAGAGTTACACAAATAAATCCTACTAGGAAACATCTTGCCTGCCCCATAAACATTTTGAAACTACAAAATATTTTGCTATGCTGAATCTGGGCAATCCTCGAAAGTTTTGGTTTAAGATATTTTTAATAGTTTCAAAATATTTTTACAAGTTTGCTCTGGTCAATCAAAATACACAGCTTCGATTGGACCAAAATCTTCCTACAAGTTTCTTACAGTGCTAGCCAGCCCCCCCAGCGGCCACAGCCATTTTCCAAAGGACCATCTTCTCGTGACAGGTAAGAGAGGCATCTTTAAAAGCAACCTGCAGCATCACTGACCAGGGCAAGAGCTACAAAAGAAAGCCAATGCTTTAAAATCGTATTCTAAATTTTTTCCATCAAAAGTCACCTGCGTTGTCCCAAAGCTAACTACAATCTATAAATGTACTCGCTTTGACTGCACTAGACTGAATCATATAAATAACTCCACAAGTATATAATAAACTATGTGAAAGCGCCTGTGGTTTCCCCCTTTTAGCTTGTTTGAGTCACCCTAAATCTGACTTTAATCAGTCCTAATGACCGTTTATTTCAGCCACAGCAGCCAGATTGCATTTTTACTACCAACTACAGCTACTCATTGGAAATTTGCCCAGTTCCCTTTTCTAGTTATCACCTGCCAATACGCCATGGGTCAATGCCACAGATGCAGTCGTGTTCATCCTTGAGAGAGAAATCATCTTGCTCCTTTTCCTCCCTCCTCTTTTCCTCCACTCTCAAGAGCGACACTGGCAGCCGACTCTGGATTTGCTTTTAATTGCTTTGCTTACAAGTAAGCAGAAAGAGCCTGATCTTGCCAATCTCAGCAAAGAGTGGTATTGAGCAGTGTTTTGCTCTACAAAGAGTCCCCACCGATTCCCAGGGAGCTTATGGAGAACAGAATCGGATCCTAAATAGACAATAACACACTTATGTTTTTAGAACACTTCATTTCATGCCGAAATTGTCCTCATGCCTCAATACCTCGCCCTTAAATACGCTTCTGACAACGAGCCTCGCAATGCCGTACGCGCAGTTGCGCTACAGAAAGCTATTTTTTGGTACATCTGAGAAAATGACATGCTAGGCGTATCCCGCCTGTCTCTGCTTTCAATCATTTCTGATGAATCCCAACTGTTTGGAAGGACAGAGAGGCCTGGCAGGACGCGGGTTTGCCGTCAGACCGGGAGATAGCCCTGCT